CTTGAGGACCTGGACCAGTTACAGGATCGGGCTTTAAATAGCATTTTATGCTTCGCAAAAGGTTCTAGGTGGTTTTAAACCCTGAGGTTTTTATTATTTATATACAGCATCACAATGGGCCAATAGGCCTAAGTGGATCCACTAGGGATCACCGGTATAATCTAACCTAACCTACAATCTAAATAGTATACTTTTTTGTAATCTGTTTAAATTAAATAATCTCTATACTGAACAAAAGTTATAACGTAATTAGAGAACTAAAAACTAATGTTAACAGTGACGCATTGGACAGTTATTAAAGACTGTGTAATAATAATACTTAAGCTGAAGTAATTACCAAATTAGTTACTGGGATTATATAGAAGAGTTACGTAAGATGAGTAACGTAGAAGGATAAGTGAGAATAATTAAACTTTTCCTGAGTACAGGTAAAGAAACCTTACCATCACATTGGGAGGGAGCCATAACTCGATAGAAGTCAGATTAGTGTGTCTATTGAAGCAAACGAACAGATAAACGAAGTTATGTGGGATAGAGCAGTAGTGTTTATGGTTAGCAAATAAGTATTTAATACGGAGCTATATCCAAATCACAAATGAATTAGAACAGTCTAACGATATATCCTTAGGCACAATACTTATTAAAAAACATATAAACCGGAATTATTTATTCCTTTAAGGGGTGATTGGATATTAAACGTATGTGAACGGGAATAGTTTCGGGATGGAACCAAGTTGAAACTGTGTTTTTGACCTCATTCATAACTTTTAAGAGACACCTAATATAGTTTTAAAGAGCTGCCAACTTGTTTGACACTATTTAAAGCTAATTCACACTTTATGTAAACAATTTTTTTTCATATATAGATGTTATTTACTCTAAATACACTCTTAAACAGACACTCGACCTCAGCCAACTTCGGTGTGTCCAATACGAGTGTCCAGTAAGAAGCAACATAGCGTTTTTGATTGGTAAATCTAGATTTACTCTTGATCTCTTAAATTTTGTTGTAAAATAGAACATTTTTGGAGTAATCTAACATTTTTGTTGTAGTGTTAGTAGACATTTATATTTTTCAGAAATGCATATATGAAATCAAATCACATTAAATCTGTCAAGTCACATAAAACTGCTGTTAATTTCAGGGTAACCTTAGTATGACAAAATATCTAGAGTGTTATAAATTAATCTCGAGTGTTATACATTTCGCTCGAGATTTACCAAATGAAAATAAAAATTGCACTAAAAGTAAATCTCAGTTGAAAAAGTTACTCCAGATTTATCAATCGAAAACCACATTCTTCGTTATAAATAATAATAAAGAAATGTGTTTAGAAAAATGTTTTAGAAACATTGCTAATCAGAGAGAAATACTAATGAGAATAGTTTTCACCGTATTTAATTTAATGATAATTTTAAAAACACATAAATTATATCATTTCATAAATAAATAATAAATATTTGTTTACATACAAATAAACAATACCACACATTTATAAAGTATTCTGAGGATAATATTTTTTTCTAAATTTAATTTTTTATAGAATATATTTTACTTAACGCGTAATATTTAAATTAACCTAACCCTACAGACAAACAAAATAGTCGAACTAAAAAGTGTAGCGTACCATGGTTTGGTCATTAATCAAAATAAATGTCTTTTGTGCACTTGTCCAATATCAATAAAAACTATTTGGCACTCACCTTTGGTGTTTTCTGCTCTGTAGACATATAGCCTATACAAAAAGATTTTGTTGTTTGACTCCAAAGAATTTCGCCAGTTCGATCTTCTGGATGATACACTAATGTTAATGCGCCTGCATACAAATTTTGATTAACTGGCAGAAATGGTGATTCTAAGAATTTATGCTTAAATGTATTATGTAAACTTCGAACAGCACAATCGGCTGTCAATAGATCCGTGCATATTTCTTTCGCTAGAAATGTTCGCATGATATATTCACCATTTCCAGTAGTGCATGTAGCAACGGATATATCAGAAGTGTCAGCAGCCCAAACACCAGCACCAAATGTAGCAGCTTGACCAACACGTCCAGGCACTTTTAAAAGCAGACCACCAGAACTACAACCAGCAGCTGTGTTTCCATTACCATCAACACATACAGCTCCTACTGTATCTAAGCGTGCTTCTATAGTTATTGGAGGCACGTCTGCGGTGACAGGTATAGTATGTTCACTAGCCAGTTTTTGATATTTCGTTTTGTAATGATTATAAGCAAATTTTGCTTTACTTGATATCAAATCTTTGGGATCAATTATGTCACAACCCATTTCTTCTGCAAATTGCTCAGCTCCTGTACCAGCCATTATCATGGGTGGAAGGCGATCCATAGATAATAGTCTAGATTGTCCATCACAGATAACACGTGCCAATTGTATTGGATTTTTTACATTACTAACGTCTGTACATGCTCCAAATTGTAAATTGGCACCATTCATTATTGAAGCATCGCACTGCACACGCCCATCATAACAAAGATTTGAACCAAAACCCGCATTTGTGTTACCACAATTTTCCAACCGTTTTATGGCAGCTTCACAAGCGTCCATAGCTGTACCTCCTTTCAACAGCAAATCTGTAGCTCTTAAGCAGGCCTCTTTTATTACTCGCTGATATTTACTCTCATCGACACTGTTGCCCGCTCCTGGGGAGTGGCAAGTTTTAAATTGATTTTATTAAAATAAATTTAGCTAACAAACCTGTGTGCACTGCTATAAAACCAGACATTTTGCTTCAATATATGTTACGCTGCGAGATATTTGCAAACTATATTTTAATTCCGATTTATGTCAAACGCGACAGTAGTTTATTGTTTTGTTTGTGTATGCAAACATTCTGAAGTGCATAATTGAATAAGCAACTTAAATAAACAACTGTCAAAACTTGTTAAGTGATGTAAGCGACAATTATAGGTATAAGTATTCGGTTTTATTTAGGTAACCAGAATGATTAGATACAGCTAGAGTTGCCAAGGTAAGTGAAATTTTAAAAGTAATTTTATTATAAAATAATTGTGATAGTTCAAACTGCATATCTATAATACATAATTTGTTTTTTAGTGACAACAATTTAGTCCCAATTCGACATTTATTTCTGCACATTTGTTGAGTTAATTACGATAGAGTTAATGTACTATATTGTCAATATAAATTATATATCACATTGATATGTTGTGTTATTAAGCCATGCTTCAATATTTTTCATAAAATAGTTAGTTTTTTATTTAACTGATATTTGATGTTAGTATGTTATATTCAAAAATTTAGGCACCTTATAGCACATTCACATTAACTCATTTAGACGGTTTTGTTCCTTATAGCCACTAATGAGAATGATTTACCATTCAAAAATTTTTCTTATAAATGAGCTCATTATCAGTAAATCAGTTCAGCTAATAATGTCGAATGCAACCCTTAAAAATAAATTTCCCACAAGGGAAATGATCAAAATATGAAACATTCTTTATATGTTTTATATGTAAAATGTGAACACATAAAAGCTGAGATATACACAAAGGTATTGAGAAAGTAAGTATTTGATGAAATCTTTGTTTTTATTATTTGGATAAGTAATTGTTATATAATAGTATATAAATGAATTAATATATCAATTATATATATATAATTTTTTTGTGTGATATATTATTAAGTAAAGTTTACTAAAGTTTATAAAAATTGTATAAATAATTCTTTGGAAGACATTTTCTTCAAATTTTACAGATTCAAAGCACAAAGCCTAATACTATAACCCAATAGCTAATATACGGATTTATTGAACTAACGAATATATCCAAAAACCACTGATAATAAGTATTTGGAAATGATAATAATAGCTCTATGGTCAACAATATATAATATTAATTGCATTCAAAAATTTTTCTTTCTCTTATTATCAAACATATATTGTTTATAAATAAAATATTAAATATATTTAAAATATATATTTACATCAAAAGTTTTGTGTAATTTATTTAAAAACCAAATATTTAGTATCTATTGCAAAATAAAATGGTTGGCAACACTAGAACCAATTGTCAAAAATAAAATTGTGTTTTTATTTTTGCTGGTCAGTCAAAGTAAAAATCTAAGAATTTATTTGAACAAGTTTATTTTATAAGAAATGTTGCGTAAAGTTTGTGTAAGTATTTATTATATTATATTATTATATTAAAAAACAAAGCAAATAATGTCACACATTTTGATTGCGTAACACTGTATTAAATGAAACTGTTTGTAGTGCTCAAGGTATTCCGGTGGAATTCTACCGTATTTGTTAGGTAAACAAAATTTTTCCAGTGCAGCTGGATCAACTGGAAGTCAACCGCCAAAAAAAGAAGTTCTTAACCATGCTGATGTACCTATTATTGACTATGAAGATCCGGACTATTTACCACTGCCGGAATATCCCATGAGACCGGATGAACCACTCGAGGTACGCAAGCAACGGTAAGTTTAACGCTAAGTTTAGATTAAAATATCTAAAAGAGGTTCGTCAGCTCTAAGTGTGAACATAGTGTCTAACTTTAATGCTAATACATCTGTTATATTTGGGAGATATAGAAGTTTTGATGCACCGCGCAGATGACTACGGTGAAAAACAACCGAATTAGCATACATAGCTACACAGAGTGTCTGCCTTGAAATTGTTATATGTTTTTCAACACAAACCACTAAATTTCGAAATGTAGCTGTCATCAGCGCGGGGCATAATTTACAAAAAATGGTAGTTTAAAATTCTTAGTGAAATTAGTTATTTTAATTTTAAATACAAAATTAATTTAATTAAATACCAATTAATTCACTTTAAAATTTGAAATTTAAAATAATTAATGT